GGGCCCCGTCTGGGAATGTGGGGGAGGCAGGCGAAGGAGAGGGGATGGCAGGCCAGGACAGCAGGGCCGAGGCAGGGCTGGTTCCCTCCACAGGGCGGTGAGTGGTCCCGGAGCCCTCCTGGGGCCCTGTGCTCCCTGTAATGAGCCTCTGTGTTATTATGGAAGATTGGGATTTTTCTTTATCCTCTGTAGTTTCTGATGGGATTTCTTTCATATTTGATATGTTTGTCCAGCTTTGAATTGAACCAATCACAGGCTCTAAATTGTCCTGTAATATGCCTGATGTGTTAACCAGTTCAGATGTGAGAAATGATGTTTTAGAACCAGAAGTGCTGTTTCTCTGACCTTGATATGTGTTAGCCTCCAGATTATGTGAGGTTGTGGCAAAAATAGTTCCCAGGGATGATTTAGAGCTAGTTTTTTCCACAGAGGGAGGTCTTGACTGTCCTGTATCCTTGGATAGTTTTGTAATGACAGGGCCCTCTTCTGTGTGTTTTAATATCTCAGCCCATGCCAATGTAGTCCCTGTCCAGGATGATGTGGCTGATGTTTTAAGGGAAATTTTACCCCGTGATATGGTTGCAGGTGAATTTTTTTGCATAATGATAGTCATTTTTGTAGGTTCTGTTGTGGCAGGAAAGGATGTCCTGGTGATTGCTCCTGATGACCTCATAGACTGGGGAAGAAGTGGGGTGGACATTCTGTCAGAGGAGGTGACTTCTTTTCTGAGGCCTTTAATAGCAGTGGAACCTGGGGAAGAAATAAACAGAGGTAGCTCTGTTGTTGAATTGGTGTCAACATAAGCACTGAGTTTTATCAGTTTGGCATTGTCTGTTCTAGCTTTTGTGTTCTCTGGCCAAGCATTTGTTGTTGTGGTAACAATGCTTTTTACTGTCTCCTTAAATAAGGCTTTAGATGACTCTGAGTAAGCAGAGTCAGTGGAATGAGGATGTTGTTCAGAACTTGTGGCCCACACTGTTGTCCACTGTATGTCTGCAGAAAGGAGAGTTGCTTCTTTATCTGTGGTAGACTTAGAAGGAACTATTCTCTCATGCGGGCTGCTTTTCCAACTTGGGAATGAAGTTGTCCCAGATTCCAAACTTATATCTGGCAGATCTGTGGTCATCCATGGACCAGAGGAGTCACTAATCTTGATGGCCTCTCCTGAGGCGTAAAAAACACTTGTCATCTCAGTGACCAAAGATGGGCTTGAGGTTGATTCTTCTCCCTCAGTCCAGGAATCAGATGTAGCTCTTGCCTCTGTTGTAAGAGCCCTTATCTCATGTCCCTGGACAGTTGAATCCAGAATTCTTACTGGGTGTGGGGTCATATCTGGAGTTGTTCCTGATGATCTGGGCACCTGCCCTGGATTTGTAGAAATTGTGGTGGGAAGCTGGGTAGAACTCTTTTCCGCCTTTTTGCTCATGAGATCTGGTAGCACTGAGTAAGTGATTCCAGAGTTAGTTACCATGGCAGATGGTGTGACCTCACTTGTTATGTCTCCTATAGAGAAGGATATCTGTGAGGTTATGGGCCTGATCATGGTCTTCAAAGTGAGTTCTTGAGGACTTGTGTCCCCCTGAGGAGCTAAAGTAGTGGTTGTAGCTGATGACACAGACCTTCCAGTGGCCCAGTCAAGAGAGGACAGAGAATCAAACAGGGGAATGGACAAGGGGATACTTGAATCAGTCTTTGTGCTTGAATGGTCAGAAAATGCTGCTGAAACAGGCATGTGTTCTGTTTCTGTGCTGCTGGGAGTCTGACTTGTACTTGAAATGTCAGATGAGGGAATGGATGGGCTGGTTCTAATGGTAGTTGCAAGGCTATTAGGAGCAGACATAGAACCTGATTCCATGCTTGATGGTAAGAATGAAGTTATCCCCATTATAGAAGTTATTTCAGGAGAACCTGTGACTTTCAAGTTTGAAGCCATGTCTGTGATTATCCAGGGGACTGATGCAACTGTGAGGTCAGAAGCAGCTGTGGAGGGCCAGGTGGTAGGGCTCTCTGGAGGTGAAATGCTCTTCTCTGTGGCAGGGGTACTGTTTAGGACTGGGCTGGTTCCTATGCTAGTGATGGTGATGGTGGTAGCAGGAGAGGGAACTGGGGTTCCACCCCTGAAGCTCACTCCTCTAAGAGAAGAGGTCTGTGATAGCTGCACAGGGTCATTGGTCACTACACTTGCACCATCTATCAGAGTCTTAGACCTTATTGAAGGGAATGTGATAGATGATAAATAGCTCATTTTTCCTTCTGAGGCATTGGAGAGGCTGGTAGTGGCTTGGCCTCTAGCAGATGGAGACACTTGTGAGATGCTTTGTGCTACGGAGGTGATATGCAATGTATTTGTTCCAAGGGGGATGTCACTTCCAGATGCCTGGTCTAATAATAGGCTAGCAGATGAATAACCCTCAGCCACAGACCCACTTGTCTGATGTTCAGCTAACATTGCCATCTTACTCAGGACAGTGGAAGGAATAACTGTGGTGCTGTTCCATGTCTTGGTTCTAACTTTAGAATTATCTATACCTGAGCTCATAGTTACCTCCTGGGTTGTTAGAGAGTTTGTGTTTGTCACAGAGTCTTCAAGGCTAATGAAAGATGTGCTCATAAAGACATGTGCATCCACTCTGGTCCCTTCAGTGGTATCATGCCACGTGGAACGACCCATTCTAGTTGTCTTTGAAATCAGATCTGGGCTGCTTTGCTGACCAGTCTTTGTGGTGCCTTTAGGAGTTGGTGACTCTAGAGGGACAGGGGACACTGTTACCAATGACTTTCTGGTCTCTTTTGGAGTTCCAAAATAAAGGCTGGTCGAAGCCTCAGATGTGGATGGGGAGAATGAGACCCTTTCTGTAGCTACCACCTTTTCTGTGGGTGACTTAGCTGGTGATGTGACTCCTGTGAGCAGGTGAGGGAGGTTGTTGGTGTCACTTTCTGTGGATATGAGCTGAAGGGTAACTCGTTCCACTGTGGTCACCATGGGGACAGTTGCCTCTGAAGTTTCCCAAGGAGAATTTCCCACATTTAACTTGGTTTCTGGGCTGGTGCTGGGCTCCTTGGAACTTTTGAGAGCTGTAACCATTTCTGAACTTTCTGAGGGGAAGCCTATGATTAGAAAGTAATTTGGTGGAATACAGGCAAACAGTACAGAAGGTGAATTTTCCTCTTGAAATTCTGATTGAAACTATTTCCTCCTCTAGAAAAGAAAATGCTAGTACAGCCTCTAAAGAAAGATGTATGGAGATTCCTCAAAGAACTAAAAGTAGACCTACCATTTGACCCTGAAATCTCATGACTAGGTATTTGCCAAAAAGAAAAAAATATATATTTGATCATAAAGGCATTCACACTTAAATGTTTATAGCACAATTTACAATCACAAAGATGTGGAAACAACCCAAGTGCCCTGCAACATATGAATGGATTAATAAATTGTAGTATGTTTATACCATGGATTAGTACACAGCCATAAAATAGATGGAGATTTTGTATCTTTTGTAACAACCTGGATGAAATTGGAGAACATTCTCCTAACTAAAGTATCACAAGAAAGACAACCATCACATGTACTCAGTACTAGGGCAGATGTTGCAGATAAACAACTACATGCTCACGTTTCCAAACCAAATGAAACTCCTGTTATAGACCTTTAACTTCCCATTCTTTCTCCTCTTATCTCTGATGACCAGCCAACTAAATAAATAAATAAAGGGAGGGATGATATTGGGTAAATCCCTCCCAACAGGTATATTTCTCAGGTATACTGCACACTTTCTGGGTAAAGGATACAACCACAACCTGGACTTCAACCTTAGAAAAGCATACTATGTAATAAAATTGTATATGCTCCATTTTAATCTGAAATTATGAAAAAGAAAATGTTAAACCTTCAATACCCACACTTTGAGCATTTAGACACCAGGAAATATATTAAACATTCCCAGGGAGACAGTAGGGTTAGAGGTTTAACCCATCTGGCTTGCTCAAGAGAAATCGTTGCCTGCAGCTCTGTCTTCCTCCATGCCCTGTATAAAAAGGAGCTCACTCTTTGTACAAAGGAGGGTATTATGAGCCAGAGCTCTATCCATGCAAGAGGCCACCCCTAATCTATTTCTATTTTTCTCTTTGGATCCTTCCCTCAGTTTCCACTTATACTTTCCAGCCTCAACTAAGTCCCCCAAAGTTCACTTCAAAGCCACTTAAGAATTTGAGAAGAAAGAGTGCAGAGGGATGAGATTTCCTTTCTCTTTCACTCCTTCTTCTCTCAAACTCATCACCCCCTCTTAATCCTTTCCCTGTCCTTCAGGGAAAGAACATTTACCTGCCATAGGAGTGAGGAAAGCTTGACTCTGCTGGGGACCACTTTTTCATATCTTCTAGTCAACTTGGCAGAGCCAAGGGTTTCAATCTACAATCCATTCTTCTATCATAGCAAAAGCAACCCATACCATCTGGAGTCCCCTGTGCCCTCCCTGTGAATATAATGGTAATCTCTGATTTAGAAAGATCCTTCACCCTGGGACAAGAGAAAGCTTATAGAGAATTGATGCTGTAGCATTTTCTCCTGCTGAAATGATTGGCTATTGATTATATAAATTACTAAGTTTAAGCAACAAAAGTGTTCAGTTCACAAAATCACCAGGAAAAAAATGTATCAATATCTGCAGAGAAGCATGGCAAGAAGTAAAAACAAAACAAAACAAATGAACAACAACAAAAAAACCCCTGTTTTAAATCAAGTCAGTTTACTTCTTTTAGTAAACTAGTGTTGACCCCAGACATGAAGATAAAGGCTTTGAACAAAATATAGATGGTGTTCATACTTACTTAGATGGATCATAGTTAAAATAGATGTGAGGTTACTGGTTGACCAAGTGGTGCCTCCATCCTCTCCTCGATTTGGCTCACTGATAGTGGTCTCTGCACCAGAGGGAGGAAGAAATGGAGACATTACCCTTGCGTTCCCTCAGAATATGGGCCCAGAAGGAATATTCTTACAGAGACTCAGAAATGTCTTCCTTTTTCTTTGTTTTGCATTAAATGAAGATGGTCATAAGTGACGTAAAACTTGATTGTAGAGACTACTGATTTGACTGGTCTCAAGTGTGAGAATTTATGAGATGCTGTTTCCTTAGGATAAAGTCTTCATCAATCTACAGTGTACCTTTACTCAGTTTGAAATATTTATATGTAAAATGCATTGACTATGACAGGATTGCTGTAGTTACATTATGGGAACTAAGCATGAAACTGGCAAAGTGAGCAAGCAAGAAAAGCTATTTTCAGCCAGGCATGGTGTTGTGCCCCTCCAGTCCCAGCTACTGGGGAAACTGAGGTGGGAGGATGGCTTGAGCCATGCAGTTCAAAGCTGCAGTGAGCTATGATTGCAACACTACACTGCAGTCTGGGGGACAGAGCAAGACCTCATACCAAAAAAGAGGAAGGAAAGGAAGGGAAGGGAAGGGAGAAAGACAGGCAGATAGGCTATTTTCTTTTAACACATGCTTTCAGTTATTATCTTGCTTATTTATTTATTTATTTATTTATTTGCAGTGACTCAGAATTACTTTACTCAGGAAATAAGATCATGACTCAGGGGCTAGGACAGTCCAGTCTTTCAGACTCCATATAGCTCTTTAGAATCAAGGAGGCTGCCCTGGGCTGGAAAGGCCCAAGCCTGAATGCCACAATGCCCTCCATGCTGGAGGTACAAGACTGTGATTAGCTGCTGGGTCTTGCAGTCCCCATTACCACTGTGGGCTGTCTTCACCTTCTTTGGCTCCTTCTGTAGCTCTGACTCAGCTACTATGATCTCCTTTGGCTTCTGGTAAGAGATTATTAGGGTGCAGTTGGCATGAGCACAACTCAATGGAGAATCATCCAGAGGTAACTGGCATCTGTCTAGTTCTCAGGAACGGAGAACTTCTTATACTTTTTACTGGTTGTTCTGACAATGATGCAGTGCTCCTTCTGGTCCACACAAACATTATAGGTATCCTTAGGGTAGGGGAGGTTTCAAATTTGCCACTGGAAACTCGTCTTTGTATCCTTGCATATGAAGATAGGATTGGCATTGCTTTTCTTTATGAGTTTGGGGCCCGGGCTCCCTATTCCTGGGGGCTCTCCCACCTCTAGCTGCCACTGGCCCAAGGCTCCCAGAGCACTTTTCACATGCCATGTTCTCACAAGTAGCTCATTTGTCTTCCCATCATATTCTTCTGCCATTTCTTTCCCATTTGGAAACAAACAGTGCACTTTCCTTCTCCTGTCCTGCAGCAACACTGTCTTCTCAGCAGCCCACAGACTTTTCAACCAGCCAGTCACCACCACCTTCCCTCTGCCCCCTATCTTGCTTATTTCTTATCTGTGATGGGAGAAGTAGACTCTGGAAGTTTCTAAATTCATGCTCCAGAGTTCTGGAAGTGCCCCTGGATTGTAATAGAAAATAAAAGGACCCTAATGGAACATGAAGGATCTCTATAAAGAGAACTACAAAACTGAGCAAAGAACTAGCAGAAGACATTAACAAATGGAAGAACATATCATGCTCATGGCCAGGAAGAATCAACATTGTAAAAATGTCTGTACTACCCAAAGCAATCTATGGATTTAATGCAATCCCCACCAAAGTAATGATGTCATACTTTGAGGAACTTGAAAAAATAGTAGGTTGTTCTACATAGAACCAGAAAAAAAAAAATGGTCAATGCAATTATAAGAGATACAAAAAAATCTGGAGGCATCATGTTACCAAGCATCAGATTATACTAGTCTCGAAAAAGCATGGTAATGGCATAAAAATAGAGATACAGATGTGTGGAATTGAATAGAGAACCTAGAGATGAACCCAGCCACACGTCACTATCTGATCCCTGATAAACCAAACAAAAGCATGCACTGGATAAAAGAATCCCTGTTTAATAAATCATGCTGGGAGAACTGGTTAGCCACGTGTAGAAGACTGATACTGGAACCACACCTCTCACCACTGACAAAATTGACTTTCACTGGATTAAAGGTTTAAACTTAAGACATGAAATAATGAAAATGATAGAAGAAAATGTGAGAAAAACTCTAGACATTATTAACCTAGGAAAAGAATTTATGAAGAAGACCTCCTTGGCAATCACAGCTACACCAAAAATAAATGAATGGGACCTGATCAAGCTAAAAAGCTTTTGCACAGCCAGTGGTACAGCAACTGAAGCAAACAGGCAACCTTCAGAATGGGAGAAGATATTTTCATGCTATGAATCTGACAAAAGACTGATAACTAGAATCTGCAGAGAACTCAAATTAATTAATAAAAAAGAGCAAACAATCCCATTTATAAGTGGGCAAGAGTCTTGAACAGGAAGTTCTCAGGAGAAGACAAATGAATGGCCAACAAACATATGCAAAAAATGCTCATCATCCCTAATCATCAGAGAAATGTAAATCAAAACCACCGTGAGACATCCCCTAACCCCAGCGAGAGTAGCCCACATCATAAAGTCCCAAAGTTGCACATCTGGTGTGGATATAAAGAGAAGGGAACACTTCTACACTGCTGGTGGGACTGCAAACTAATACAGCTTCTTTGGAAAGAAGTATGGAGAATCCTCAAGGAGCTAAAAATAGACCTTTCATTTGATCCTGCAATCCCATTACTAGGTATCTACCCAGAAGAACAAAAATCATTTTATGACAATGCTATTTGCACTAGAATGTTTCATTGTGGTTCAGTTCACAATTGCCAAGACATAGAAGTAACCCAAATGCCCGTTAACCCATGAGTGGATTAACAAACTGTGGTATATGTATACCAAAATACTGTTGAGGCATAAAAAAGATGGAAACTTTACATCTTTTGTATTTACCTGTATGGAGCTGAAGCACATCCAATGTACTCAATACTAATGTGAAATCAATAGAAAAACAGTTACATTATCACATGAGAGAAAAATACAAGTAAATTCAAGTAGGGAGTGGAGGGAGGAGGGAAAGGGGAAAAGAGTGGGAGATTATTGTAACCTCACCTAAGGTGTGTAAGGGTACATATACAGCACAGCCCTGGGTGAAGGGCTCAATGACAACTTGAACTTTACCTTAGAAATGTAAACAATGTAACTTAATCATTTGTTCCATCATATTAATCTGGAAATTTTTCTGCAATATAGAACCAAAAAGCCGATTCCTGTCAGGAATCATTTTTTCTCCTCATTAGACCATATTCAACAACAAAGCGCAGAACCCTGACGCAAAGGAAGTTAGGAACGGGGGTGGGGGAGTTGCTATTTGTAACTGGAATGGAGTTATTATCAGAAGCTGGCATGGAGTCGGGCTCTATACCGAGAAAACTCTCCCCAGTGGCTTTAAGTCTTAGCTATGCTGTATGTGGTGACATTTGGTAGTTATTCATGGCTACTGATGTGGTGATGGCCTTGTCCTCAGGTACCAGGAGGAAACTTCTGGGTAAACGGTGTCTGAGAAGTCTGTGGTTTCCTGAGATTGAATGTCTACAGATGATGCGGATAGTGTCAGTCCTGAGATCGGAGGAAGAGAAGCTGGGATTCTAGATCTCTCTGCCTTGGAGGAAACAGAGGGAGTTGATGTTGAGAGTAGGACAGGAACATTGGAAGAAAGGAATTTGGCCTCTTCCTCAAAGGAAGGTTTTGTCCACAGTCAGGTCTCTAAAACTCTACTCTCAAGAGTGGTCATCTCTGAGAGTGGAAAGCCCCAAGTCTCAGCATAAGTTGTCCCTTCCCATGAGGGTATAGTGACGGTGTCCAAAGCAAAAGGATCCTTTGGTGTAGCCGTAGATGGACTTGTTGGTGCGGTAAAAGTCATGTGAGAAGAATAGCCTTGAGATGGGATGTGGAATAGTTAGTGCTCATTCCTACAGAGATGTAGGACCCATTAACTGAGTTGGAGGAAGTCAACCCAGTCCTAGCAGCCTTAGCAGCATCAACCCTGGACTCTTGGGGAAAGACCACACTTGTGTCTGTGGCGGTGCTGGTGTTCTGAGAAGTACTGGTCTTCCTCATGGAGTCCATGGGTCTAAGAGGAAACAGATTCTTCCCCAATTCTTGCAGACTGAGGAAGAAGGAGGTTGAAGAGCACACGTTGGGGCTCCACGATGAAGGCAGTAACCACTGGTGATGTGGCCTCATGTGACTCTGGAGTAGGCAGGAGCAGAGTGCAAGCTAGCCCTCAAACTTGTGACCCACACGGTGGATACTGCTGCATCTGTAAAAAGATAAATCTTTTCTGGGTCTATGGTGTCTGCAGTGGTCCCAGAAGCAGCCAGCATCTCCAGGGAGGTGTTAATCCAAGTCAGAGATGAACTCTTCCCAGTTATGGTGCTTACATCCATCACAGCTGAGGTTTTCACTGGATGAGGTGAATGAGTGGCCCCCACTGATGTCTCCTGTAATTTGACTGAGATCTCTCATCTCAGTGGTCAGTGGTTTCCTGAAGTTGTGCCCCATTCCTAGAAATGGGTGAAGCTGAAGCTGTTATTGCTGGTGCAGGGCCGCTTAGGCCTTGTCCCTGGGCACTTGTTCTCTGCACCAGTGTTGTCTCAAGCTGGGTCACTGCCTCTATGGACTCATGCTCTGATGTTGTAAATGCCAGGGTGGGAGTCAAGGGAAAATCCTGCTCAGCCTTCATGCTGGTGAGGACTGGTGTTCCCATGACTGTCACTCTGCTGGTGCTTACCATGTTGACATGGAAGGGCTGATCCCAGCTGCCAATATGTGTTTGGGGGGAACTTGTGTCCTTGCAAGTTGCTGCCGCATTCGAGGTAGAGGCCAGGTGATGCGGAGAAGTGGGAAAGGGTCATTTATATCAGCTTGTGCTTAGTTCTCAGAAGAAATTGGGATTTACAGTGTTGCTAATTCAGGGCTTTGGGGAACCTGATTTATATCTGACATCTCAGGGAATGAGGTGCTTGCTCACTTGCTGCTCATCAGCATTTGTGGTGGGAGAAGATGTAGTTGTGTCCACTGGACTCAGAGTTCTTGCAATTGTGCTGACCTCAGCAACTCTGTCTGAATACAGGAGTGGCCAGGCTTTTTCCAGTGATGGGTGCAAGATGTTGAGTATTGTCTGATGTAGTGACTGTTGCTAAGGAAGAATGTGTATTTTTTGCAGAACTGACCTCAGGCAAGCTTGTCACATGTAACTGCTTATCTGTGTCTGCAATGGTCTGTGGGGCAGCTGTGCTGGTCTCTGGTGTCTGGACACTGTCACTGGTTCTGGAATGTACCTCTAGGTTAGGTATTACTATTGAAACTGAGCTTGTTCCCCAATGACTTTTATTGGTGACTATTGGAGTGGATGCCTTATAGCTATCATCACTGCTTATTCCAGTTGGAAACTGAGACTCATATGGACTTCCAGGTAAAGAGGCAGATTCCAAGGCTCTTTCTCACAACCTGGCCTTATCTTCTGATTTATGAGACATCTACTCTGTACCAGGCATAGGAAACAAAGGAGAGAGCAAAAGCAGAAATGGCCTCTGGCCTTCCGCTAGCTGGCAAGCTAGACATTTTACCAACTAAACTTACAAATAAAGTAAAACTGCAACTATATCATTGGCTAAGAGGGAGAATGATGTGGTAGTGTGAGAGAATGTAATAGGGAAACTTGTTCTCTCCTGGGCCAGGGAGGATGAGTCAGAAGGGCTTCCTGGAGGTGGCAGCTATGCTCTGAGCTCTGAAAGATGAATAGCAACAATAGCCTCAATAAAACTGAACACTGGGCTCGGCACCTGTAGTTCAGTGAGTGGGGTGCCAGCCACATACACTGAAGCTGGCAGGTTTGAACGTGGCCTGGGCCTGCTAAACAACAATGACAACTGCAACAAAAAAATATCTGGGCATTGTGGTGGGTGCCTGTAGTCCCAGCTACTTGGGTGGCTGAGGCAAAAGAATTGCTTAAGCCCAAGAGTTTGAGGTTGCTATGAGCTGTGATGCCATGGCACTCTACGGGGGTGACATAGTGAGACTCTGTCTCAAAACAAACAAACAAACAAACAAAACTGAACATTGGTTGAGCACTTACCATGTGCCAGATACCACTGATACAAATTAGCTCATTTGTCCCTCCTACCTGCTAAGGTAGGCACTCTTTTTTCTACAAGGGAGAAAACTAAGACACAGAAAGATTTTTTAAATTACCCAAGGTCTCATACCTGGTTGGTAATAGACCTTGGAAAAGTAGGAGTTATAAGAAAGTGGAAAGATAAAAAGAGAACATATTGGTTGGAAAGAACAGCCTGTGCCAATGTCCCCAGGTAAGATCTGGGAATGAATAAGATTTAACTTCAAATCTTGGCTCTGTGACTATGTGTAATTCCACGAACTTCTCTGAGCCTCAGTTTCCTCACTGGCAAAATTGAGATGTTTTATAATAGCACCTAAGTGATTTAACACCTGTAAAATACAGCAATGATTTCAATACTACTACTACTAATAGGAATTTCATATATTAGGAGTTGTGTACCCTCCTATCATGGTTCACTTCTGATTTTTGTTGTTATTTGTTTGTTTGTTTTGTCACTCTTTGTTACTCTTGATATAGTGCCGTGGTATCACAGCTCAAAGCAACCTCAAACTCCTGGGCTTAGTGATTCTCTTGCCTCAGCCTCCGGAGTAGCTGGGACTACAGGCGCCCACCACAATGCCCAGCTATGTTTTGGTTGTAGTTGTTATTGCTTTTGGCAGGCCTGGCCTGGGTTTGAACCCGCCAGCTCCAGTCTATGTGGCTGGTGCCCTAGCTGCTGAGCTACAGGTGCCAAACCTCACCTCTGTTTTATTTATTTCTTTTTTGTATCTTTTACCAGGATAAATTTTTATCATGGAATGACATTAGGTGAGTTAGAGACAAACCAGTTCCAATTTAATAGTTATGTAAATATGTATTAAAAGAAAGCTTATCTATAAAACCTGTGATTTTATAGGTAATACTGTTTAAGATAAGGCTATCATAGGTACTTCAATAGCTGTTGAAAGTAATAGGCATTCAACAGTCAAATGAGCTAATTAAAAAAAGCTTTGACTTCATAATATAATAGGTGGTAGGCTTGGCGCCTATAGCTCAAGCAGTTAAGGTGCCAGCCATATACACTGGAGCTGGTGGGTTTGAATCCAGCCCAGGCCTGCCAAACAACAATGACAACTACAACCAAAAAAAAAAAAAAAA